CCCTCGGACTCACCAGCTCGGCGGGGCGGGCGGCCTGGGCCCCACCCGGCTTCTTCCTGCGGCCCCAGGCTCCCCGCGCGCCGGGCGCCGAACCGCCCGCCGTTACCATAGAGATCCGGGGCGGGGCCGGAACACCACGTGCGCCGTCCCCGCGACTACAGCTCCCGGCATGCCCCGCGCCGCATGGAACTACGGCCCCCAGCATGCCCCGCGCTAGCAAAGAGCAGGGCTCCCAGCATGCCCCGCGTGGCACAGAGCCCAGGGCAGGGCTCCCAGCAGGGCCCCTGCTGGAGCTGGGCTCCGTGGCCAGCAGGGCTGATGGGCGATGGCTCCACCTCGCCGGCCATGGCCTGCCACGCCAGGGTTCGCTCTAGGCCCCCAGCCGGGGTTTGGACCCGGGCGTGAAGCCAGCCAGTCGCCCCGGCGCCAGCACTGCCCCCCCGGGTTCTCCTCCGGGATGTGCATCCACACAGCCCCTCGCCCGCACAGCAGCCCCAGGGCCGGGCTTCCCAGCCGACCCCCCTACCTCGCGGTTCAGGACTCAAAGAGGAATGCGCACGGTGCCCCCCATTTCACAGGGAGGAGGGGGATGGGTTATAGCCTGTCCCTGCAGTTGGTTCTTGGGCAATACCCGCTAAGACAAAGCTGCGGCACAGAGCATCCCCACTCCCTCTCCAATGCCCGTCTGTCTGTATGTGGCAGGGGCTAGAGGTGCTGGGGAACCTCTCCAGCTGTGCTAGTGGACGGGCACTCTGTGCAGATAGTAAAGCCACCTCTGGGGTAGAAGCTCATGGATTTATCTTGCCACCAGACTGCAGGTCAGAGATGACAGCTGACAGCACTGGGCAGTACAGGAGGCAATGCACTTTCAGAGGTGCCCCACCTCAGATGAGACAATAAATAGAGCTCTCTACCACCCCAGCCCTGGCGTGTGCCCAGGTCAAAGATAACGATCCCACCGTTTTCTAAAAGAGATGGGGAGAATGCCAAAGTCCCAGCCAGCCGAATAGGCATGAATGACCAAAGCCATGTGTGAGCCAGTATAAAGAAGCTAGAGACAACTACCCAGCTCTGACCTAGATGGGGATGTAGTACTGTACTTCATCTGATTAAATAAGCAGATTCCAGGAGAGGACTACGGGGAAATCATGCCTCACCAATCTATTAGAATTCTTTGCGGGGGGGTGTCAACAAACACGTGGACAAGGGTGACCACAGGTAAACAGAGAGGTGGCAAAATTTGGAGATGGTACAAAATCACTCAAAATAGTTAAGTCCAAAGCAGACTACGAAGAGTTACAAAGGGATTTCACTAAAGTGGGTGACTGGGCAACAAAATGGCAGATGAAATTCAGTGTTGATAAGGGACAAAGTAATGCACATTGGAAAACATAATCCCAACTATACAGACAAAATGATGGGGTCTAAATTAGCTGCTACCATTCAGGAACAAGATCTTGGAGTCACTGTGGATAGTTCTCTGAAAATATCTGCTCAAGGTGCAACGGCCGTCAAAAAAAGTGAACAGAATGTTAGGAACCATTAGAAAGGGATGGATAATAAGACAGAAAATATCATAATGCTGCTACATAAATCCTTGGTACACCCACACCTTGAATACTGCGTGCAGATGTGGTCGCCCCCTTTCAAAAAAGATATGGAACTAGTTGCCAGGGGATGTTGTGAAGGCCAAAACTATAAGGGGGTTCAAAAAAAGAACTAGATAAATTTACGACGGACAGGTCCATCAATGGCTATTAGCCAGGATGGGCAGGGACACAACCTCCTGCTCTGGGCGTCCCTAGCCTCTGACTGCCAGAACAGGGAGATGACATGGATCACTCTATGATTGCCTGTTTTGCTCATTTCCTCTGAAGCACCTGGCATTGGCCACTGTTGGAAGATGGGCTGATGGACTCTTGCAGGGCCCCAAGGAGCCACAGGTTAGCGTATCAGTGATCTAGATTTTCGCTGCTCTGGAACGTTTTTTCAGGGTAAAGCTCTTTGGGATCCCTGGAGCCCATTACAGGCTGGCCAAATACCAGTTCTGTTCATTTCTTTAAGGGATCCAGACGCTCAGCAGGAAACTTTCCCAGGAAGGGAAGAGCTGTTTATTATAATAAATTACAAACGTAAATGCAATAGTACAAAAAATAAATCTAGAAAAGTGACTCCAAACCAACGTCACACAAAGTCTCTGTTATAAAAGAGTTGCTACAAATGGCTAGAAAATGCAGGTTGGATAAGTCCAGCCAAGGGCTTCTATGGACACCCAAATACCACTATGAACCCAGAGGATCGAGTGTGTTCGGACCCACAAGCATTGAGGTGGTACACGGATCCTCAGGGAGGAAGTGCCTGGCATTGCCCAAATGCGACCCCGCTGGCTGATTAAGGAACGCTAGCAGGTTCCGCTGATGGCACTTGACTGTCCAGTTCTCATCCACGAAGGCGGTGGGTCGCAGCATGATGGAGCACGTAGATTAGGAGAAACCTTCAGACTTCAGTCAGAGCCGCAGAGTAGAATCCCCACCACACACTCCAGGAATAACAGGAGAAGCGAACCCGTCTTCCTGAAGCTGAGCCAGGGAAACAATCCCCAATGTCACCACAGAAGAGAAGCCTTCAGCAGCTGTGAACAGAATCCTGGACACACCCTGGGCTCCAGCTCTGCTGGGAATCTGATGCCGAGTCTGGCTTGTATCACCTGGACCCTGCAGTCTGGAAGTGCAGGGTGAAGGTAAGTAAGTGGAATGTGTCCTGGAGAGAGTCCCTGAACCATCAAGGCTTGGTGTTGGGTTTAGTCCATCCAGGATCTGGTTCAATTAAATCTGACCTTGCTGGAGCTCATTCAAGGAGGATGGGGAGAGATGGGGCACTTCTCTGGTGGGAGAGAAACTGAGGTGGGGAGAGGCCAAAGGCACACTGGATCTTGGGGCTGGATCCCCTGCATGGCTCAACCTAGGTGACCATAAGGCACATCTCAGTAAGCATGAGACCCCTTTTTGAAAGCTGGGTTCTTTAGGTTTAGAGACTCCTTCCCCAGAAGGCGCTTGGAGTCAGAAGAACCTCGAAGTAGAAGCTAGACCTGGTTGGTTGGATTCAGCCTGGAAACAGGGTTGAGTTCATTCCAAGGTTCTCTTGGAATGAAGTGTGGTGGGGGTGGAGATAGTACAAGATGGGGCATTAATCAACATCTGTCCCTGAGGAAGTTTGGGGGGCACCACATTTGGGTTGGAGAGATCTCTATGAAAGGACAGGAAAGGGAGTTGCTGGCATGATCTTTCTCAGGACTGGCAAAGAGGGGACTCATTGGGATCTGGATCAAGAGGAGGAGGAGTTCCAGTTTCTATCTCACACACACCGTATTTCACCCATCTCTGTCTTTATCAGATACGTTTCTTGACCAACTGTTGTCAGGGTGGTCTCCCCCAACTCCACGGGGACCTGCCAAGCTCAGGCACTGCGTTGGTCTCAGGAGATGGGGGTGGTGGCCCCTGTTTGTAGACAGAGTACGGGAGTGTCCCCTGTATTCGGGCACTCAAGAGGCGAGTGGAACGGTCTCTCCCAGGGCAGAGACCTGCTGTTCTCAGGCACTGTGTGTTGGGTGCAGAAGGTGGATGAGCTTCTTGCAGTGATGAGCTGAAGACGGTCGGGGGCTCCCATAGGAACTGGTCTGAGCTTCGCTGACGGAAAGTGCGAGCAGCTTCTCGCTGGCCTTCAGAGACAGGAGCACCTGGAACCCAAAGGAAACGACACTCATCACAAAAGCAGCCCGGGCTGCGCTGTGCGTTGCCTTAGTCACGTTCCCTGCCGGGGGCCCTGCCCCATCTACCCGCTTTGCCCGTTAGTCTCAAGGCCTAAAGTCCAGCTTTCTAGGTGTCATGTGGAGCTCAGAACGCTTCACAGAATCAGGATGAGAAGATGGAGGGATGGGCCTGAGGGTTCTCGATGCAGAAGGAGGCTGGATGGCGCCTGGTGCAGGAGCATCATTTAGGTTGCCCCATGGGGCACAAGACTGCCACCCACCTTCCCTGCCCCAGGGGCACGAGACTGGACTCCCCCTGGGGGGAAAGCCGGGTATTCCCAGATGGTGGCGGTGAGGGGCACTGGGCCCAGGGCACAATCACCGCAGTCTCCTGGCGCTAGTGACTCTGGGGAGCGACCAGCATGTGGGGTGTGGGCACGGTGCAGAAGCCCCCACTGCCACCCCTTAACAACAGGCTGGTGCCCCCCAAGCCCTGCGAGTGGCCAGGCCCAGAGGGAGGCAGAGGTGGGGAGGGAACCGAAGGGGACAGGCCTGGCCGGGGAGCTTCCCCGGGGGGGAGGGGGATGGACCCCTGCTGAAATTCACGCCTCCCCCTCCCCCCCTGAAATCTGACAAGGCGCTCCTGACCTGGTGTATCTTTGGCTGCTGGCTGATGGACCGCAGTGCGATCAGTGCTGCCTCCTGCACAGCTGGCTGGGAGTCGTGGCAGGCCACGTCCAGCAGGAGATGGGGGGCTCTGTTCTGGATCAGCACGTCCCCCAGGTCCGCTGGCTGCCTGCCCAAGTTCCCCAGAGCGGAGGCAGCATTACACCGGGTTTTGGCCTGGGGGTCACTCAAAAGCCTCACCACGCTGGGCACGGCTTTCCCCAGGGCGTGCGGGAGGGCGCCGTCCTGATAGGCAGCGTTGCCCACCGCGAAGCTGGCCGACCTGCGCACGCTCTCGTCCTGGTCCGACAGGCGCTCCAGCAGACGCTCCAGCAGGCCCGCCTGGCTCCGCAGCGCCCGGGGGAAGTCCTGGCCGTGCCGCAGCAGGTTGCCCACCAGGCTGCAGGCCTTGGCGCGTATCGGGTGCTCCTGGTGGCACAGCAGGCGGCTCAGCAGCTGGTAGGCTGAGTCCGAGCCGCCCAGAACCTTCTGGAGGAAAGGCAGGTGAGCGGGACAGGTCCGGGCCACGTGGGTCAGGAGGGACAGGAGGTCCATCGTGAGGGGAGGGCTGTCCGAAAGCAAGATGGCCGACAGGAAGGCAGTGGCACAGTCCGAGACAGCAGCCACCCCCACCAACTGGTCGATGACCCGCTGGTCGGACAGGACGAGGTGGCACAGGAGGCTCATGGGAAGCGTGGTCTCCGAGAAGGGCAGATGGTGGCAGCAGACCTAGAAGGAGGAGAGATGGCAGCTGCTGAGAGGACAAGAGGCAGAAATGGGAGGGGAGGTCTCCAGGGTTCTGCTTGGCACGCGGGGAGCAAGAGAGGTGGGGTGGGCAGAGAGAAAGGGAGCATGGAGTCCAGACAGAGAGCCTGGTGCCTGTTCATCACGGCTCCAGAGCCCAAGCAATGGGAAGGAGGGAGCATTCCTGGGTACCTGGAGGAGATGGGCGGGGATCTCGGCGTCTCTCAGGGCCTTCATGACCCACCTGAAGGTCTCAGTGTCCACGTCCAAGGAGAAGGGGAAGCAGAGCAGCTGGCAGGCCTGGAGCACCACAGCTGAGACCAGCTCGGGATCACCGTCCTCCCCCACCTGCCTGGGGTCGAGGGGTCAGAGAGGATCAGATGGAGGAGCCCCACAACGCTAGGCCCAGTGGGGAGGTCTGAGTGGTTGTACCGTTCCTCAGGGCACCAATGGCCCATCGGTCCACACTGTGCCAGCTGTCTGAGTGGGGCCATCCGCAGCAGCACGCACACGCCAACAGGGCCAGTTGTGTCTCGGCTGCCCTTAGAGTCCCAGATTCCAAGGCCAGCAGGGACCACTGTGATCATCTGGTCTGACCCCATGTAGAGCTCAGGCCAGAGACCTGCCCCCCAGTCACTCCTAGAGCAGAGCTTTTAGAGAAACACCCAATCTTGGGTGAAAAACCACAAGTGATGGCGATTCCACCACAACCCCTGGGAAGTTGCTCCGGTGGTTCATTACCCTCCTTGTTAAAAACGTACACCAGTCTAGCTTCAGCTCCAGCCATTGGACTGTGTTAACCCTTTCTCTGCTAGACCAACCAGCCTGTTCTCACGTATTTGTTCCCCATGTAGATACTTAGAGACTGATCAAGTCGTCCTGAAACTGACTCTTTGATAAGATCCATAGACTGGGCTCTTTGAGGCAGGATTTCTAAGGCTCTTCTCTGCACCTCTCCGAGTTAGCGTGTTCTCTAGCTCCCCGTTCCCCATGGCACCGCCGGTCACCAAGCCCCCACGTCCCGCCCAGCCAAGCTCCTGACTGGCTGGAACTCACGTCTGCGCCAGGTGACCCAGGAAGTCGAGGGACAGCAGCTTGGGGAAGGTCGCCATGATGACGCTGTCGGGGTGGGCGAGCTGAGGAAGGCACTGGTGAGGCTCTCGGGTGAAGACGAAGAGGGCCAGGCTGAGGAAGAGCGCGGTGCCTGCAGGGGATGGGGAAGTTGGCAGACAGGTGAAACGAGGGGTGAGCAATGAGTCTTGCCCCGCCCCCCATCCCAGGCACTGGGCGGGTTCTGGGGCAGCCAGGCCGCTCCATCTTGCCTCGCAGGCATGAGGCAGAGTGGGGAGCGCTCCTGCGATCAGGTCCCCACTCCTCCTGCCCGAGACCAGGCAGAGCCAGTGAAGCGTCCGTCGAGCCGGGAGGCCCCAGAAGAGCTGCCTGGGAACGGGTCTGAGGCAGGCTACGTCCCAGTGTCCAAGTGACCCCGAATGTGATCTCCTGGAGACGGGCCTGCTGAACGGCAAGCAACCCACCAGGGGGTCTGCACCCCCGGGCTCAGCTGTCCCCTCCTCTCCAGGGGCTCCAGAGCAGCTTCCCTGTTCCTCTCCTGCCAGCCCAGCACAGGCAGGGATGCCAGCCCCTGAGGACGCGGCGTAGGCCGGCTCAGTCACTGGCCCCTGCGGCTCACTGGCTCTGTGGCTGAGCTCGCTGCCCCAGGAAGACGGGCTGCCACGTTCGAATCAGTCTGGATGTCTAAGGCACCCAGCACCAGCCTTGGCTTCCTAAGGCCCATGTTAATGTCCCAGGATGTCAAGGGGGCTTTAGAGACCTGGTGAGGGGGCGCTGGGTATGATCTAGCTACTAATAAACCAAGGGACCAGACTTCCGCTGCCTGAGAGAAGGGCTGAACCCAGGAGTGAGGCAGAAGATGCTTGGGTAGATCAGGTGATACACGAACGGCTCCACACCGAGACACAAACCTTCAACTGAAGTTCTAGCTAAGGCACCTATCAGCCCCCCATCACTGGGGTATCTCAGCACCTCACAGCCCACTGCGGGGCAGGGCTGTCATCCCCATTGGGCAGCTGGGAAACTGAGGCCCAGAGAGCCTAAGTGACAATCTCAGTCTGTGGGGGAGCCGGGAATGGAACCCAGGTCTCCTGAGTGCCAGGCTAACCACTGGGCCGTCCTTCCTCACGTTCTTCACCCTTCAAAAATTCCAGCCAGGCTGCATCTGGGTGCACGTATGAGTCTTCAAAGGAACCTGCCGCAGGAGCCATGCTAATGGGGTCGGGAGGGCCGGAGCTCCAGGCTGAGGGAATCCATTCATCTCAGCTGTCGCCATGGAGATTAGCAAGTGAGGAATCTTTGCTTCCCACACCTCCAGAAGCTCATGTGAAGAGCTGCCCCGCGTGAAGGAAGCAGCTTCCACCCCTCGTGGGATCCTGCACAAAGTACCCCCCCGTACCAGCTCCCAGATGTGGGGGATATTTACCGGCCAGAGAGCATTCTGGGACATGTAGTCTTAGGCCACCGGTGAAAGTGACATTCCTCCCTCCCTACCTTGAGGGGAGATGAGGGTCCAGTCTGGCTCCGGAGTGGGCTGGCCTGGCCGCGGCGTCTCACCCTCCATCACCGGCTCAGCGGCGGCCAAGCGGAGCATCATGGCGAAACGGTGCCAGGCGACGTTCCATAGCTCCGAGCCGGCAAACCCGCGCACTGTCACCGTGTTGCCCTGGTGGAGGGAGAACGCCAGGCGGTAGCCATGCCGCGCGAGGCAGAGCGCCCTCGACCCTCGCCACCACCAAGAGGCCAAACCCAGAGCCTGGTAGGCAGCTGGTACGCCCACTGAAGTAAGGGCCTGGCCCCGTGGGAGCTGGGGTGGGGTGTCAGCACCTCACCAGACTGGACCAGGGGCTCAGACTCTTTCAAGGCCACATCACAGTAGAGAGATGGTCTCATGGGCACCCCCACCCCGACGGGCCAGTCCCCAGCCCCTGCCTCCCCTTCCCCCTGCAATCACATAGCCCGCTGGTATCTCCAGCAGCTGCTCCCCAGCGAGTCCCGGGACTAGGGAGTTGGGGGCCCTGCTTGTGCCACTTTAACGGGTCTGGAGGTCAGAAGTGCCAAGCGCCCCCCTTTGAAACCCAGGCCCCCTCAGGGAGACCCCCAGATCACGGCTCGCTTTGGGAATGGTGTCAGTGCACTGGGCGTTGTGTCTCCATCTCACTGCACCACTCCCGGGGCCCTTCCTCTCCCGCTGGGGGCTGGCAGCTCCACACCCAGGGGCGGCTCCTGGTCCCTCTCCAGCTCCTCTGCGGCAGGGAGCTCTGTGGAGGAGGCGGTGGGGCTGGCCTCTCATTCCTAGCTGCTTTCACAGTCCCCTTTGCAAGGAAGAGCCTGGCTCCTGACAGCCACAGCTGGGACCAAGGCACCGGCCCCAAGTGAGCAGCCAGCTCTCTGGGCCCCCAGCAGCAGGCTGGATTTGAATTGGTGACAGAGCTGATACCCAGTGCTCTCCGCTCCCCCCAGCTAGGAAGCCTCATGTCAGCTGGCCACTCCCCCGTGTTCTCCCCACACCTCCCCCCAGCTCAGCCCTTCCTGCTCAGTCAGGGGCATCCAGACGTTCCTGTAACATTTTCAGGAAGCCTGTGTGTGCCTCAGTTTCCCCCCTATTTGCATTGTTACCCTGTGGGGGCGGAGGACTGTTTGGTGGCAGGGCAGGCTAAGAGACAGATATGTATGGCGCGTAGCTGGCTGAGGCGGGATGGGTCATTACAAAGGACTGGCTGACCCCCGCATCAATGCAGAATTCATGAAGCCATCCCCACGCCATTGACAGCCAGAGGGAGATGGATTTCCCCACCTCTCGGCAGGGAAGCAGAGCCACGCCCCCAGCTGGAGAACAAAGGACCGGGAAGGATGGGTGTGGGGGGGTCTGGTCTGGGGAGGCCTTGAGGCTGACCCAGGAGGAGGAGTGAGACCCCGTGGGGGTCTGACACACGGAAGGGGTTGCACCAAGAGACCGTTCCACAGCTGGGGGCGTAGCCCCAATCGTGTGGATCCGGGACACCTGGTTTGACCCTTGACCACCCCCTCTGGTCCTCAGCAGCCTCCCTCCAAGGCAGTCCCGGTGCCGGATCCACGCAGACAGCGAGGTACCTGGGCGAGGAGCTGCAGCAGGAGAAGCAGGAATCCATCGTAGAGGCCGGTGCCCATGGGTGGGGGCAGGTGCAGCTGGAAGAGAAATGGGGCAGGAGGGGCCCAGGTCAGCGCTGGGCACTGGGCTCTAGAACTGGGAGGTTCCAAACGCTCCCACAGCATCAGACGGGTGCTGAGCCACGGGTGGCCTGGTCAGGGCGTCCCAGCCTGTCCGTCCCCTCACTGGGGTGCACTGGGGGTTCCTGGCCGTGCCCGCCCACGGGGCAGCCCCCTGGCTGGTCGCCCCTTACCTCGGCAGGCGCAGTGAGTGCATTTGTCATGGCCGACATGGCCTCCTCGCACCCCACCTCGATGGCTGCCCCGTGCTGGCCGAGCTGAGCCAGCAGGAATCCCGCGGCGCTCTGCAGGGGAGGGGAGAGTCAGCACCGTACAGTCTGGGGGTACACACAGCTGGCCATACCCTTCCTCCGGCACGCCTTCCCCCGCCCACCGGGAGTTGACGGCGAGCATCTCCCCCCGGGTATAGGAACAGTCAGACTGACCCCCTAGCCCCCACCCATGGGGATCTGACTGTGAGCATCTTGCCCTGGGTGTAGGAACAGGCAGATTGCCCCCCTAACCCTCACTCATGGGGATCTGACGGCGAGCATCTCCCCCCAGGTGTAGGATCAGCCAGACTGCCCCCACACCCCTCAGCCTATGAGGATTTGGTTGTGACCCCCTCCCCCTGAGTGTAGGAACAGTCTGACTGCAGCTAGCTCCCTGAATGGGAAGGGTTAGGCAGAGAGGCAGGGCTCTGCCCATACACGGATGGGGATTAGGCCATTTCAAGCCAGGCACGGCCCTCCCGGGACAGGAGCCAGTTGGGTGGGGCTGTGCCAGGCGGACGGACTCACCACAAGGGAGACGACAGCCGATTGGGTGAAGAGCTCGGCGGTGGCACTCACCACCAGGTCCACCCTGAAACACAGCGACCCAGACCCAGGCATCAGGAGAAGCTGGGAAATCGATCCCTGCCGGGGACTGACTCACCCCAGCAGGCCCTACAGAGCTGGGCAAACTGATCACGGACAGCAACCACTTCCCCCAGCACTGAAAGGCGGCCACCTCTGAGAGGCAACGCAGCAGCTGGGTCACAGTATATAGCAACGCTGGTGACGCAATCCCGTAATTCAACACACTGACGGGGACTTTCGGGAGGCGGAATGAAGCTGCCCAGCTGGCATTTGGCCAAGGCAGAGGGTCCAGAGTCTGGTTCTTGGGAAAACCCCTGAGGGCTTCATGTCTTGTCTTCTGAGAAAAGTGGTACTGCAGCAGCCCAGCGCCCCCTAGTGCCACCCTGGGGTCTGTACTGAGCCCCACATCCTGTTCCCCGCAGCCCAGCGCCCCCTAGTGCCGCCCTGGGGTCTGTACTGAGCCCCACATCCTGTTTCCTGCAGCCCAGCGCCCCCTAGTGCCGCCCTGGGGTCTGTACTGAGCCCCACATCCTGTTTCCT